AGATTATGTTTGCACATTTTTATAAATTAGATATAATATCTTCTTTGAAAATAGGGTTAATCATTGTGTTTATGGATATTTTGTTTGTCTAAAAACTACAATGTTTTTAGATTGCCTTTTTTCTTGTTTTGTATGCCCCAGAACAGCTACATTTCCTTGTCAGTTGCATTATTATTCAGAAAATAGTTGTAGTAATAACCTCTCATCAGATTTTTCCTTTTGGAAAATGATCAGTAATAAGATAACCACAGCTATTGTAAGTCTTTTTATCATCTACAGATTGCTTTTTATACTTTACTCAGATGCTTCTCTGAAAGCATCTGCAATCAGCTACAAGTTAAAGGGCTTTGACTTCAACAAAGGTGTCTGAAAGCCTGTAGAAAAGATCTATACTAGGTACTTTTATGTACAGGCTTCTAATAGGATAAACAACTTTGAGGCTACACTAGTCAACTGAGTCAGGATTTAAAAAACTAATTGAGAAGCAGGTAGCTTAATAAACTCCTAAGCCAACGTTGAGTGTTACAAGAACTAATTACAGACTTGAAACAACTGATAAAGGAATGATTGTGTTTTGTTGGGAATATTGCTGTTTTAATATTCTATTTTCTAGATATATAAAGCACAAATTTCTTTTCTCTTGTATGCTATCTATAACACATCACTAGTAGCCTATGGGTTATAAAAAGAAATCAAATATTTATAAATGGCAATATCTTATTCCCTCATCTGAGTTCCCAGTATTCAGTAACCCTCGTGGAATATTGTCTTCCACTCTCCTTGTGCTGGATATTGGACCCAGAGTCTTTGCATTTAGAGCACATGCTCTGTCACAGACGTATATCCCCAGCCAAGTATTATTATTTTCACGGAAATGTAATTAATTATCTATATAGGTTTAGTAAAACTCCTTATCTTCCATGTTACCAGGACATACCTGAAAACACTGGTATGTAACCAAGCACTTTCCTGGAATGTGGTATTTAAGAACTAAGCTCATTGAATCAAATTTGATCAGACACTTTGAACCATTTTAAAGAGTATGGTTTGGGGCTAGAGATACAGCTCAGTGGTAGAGCACTTGTGTAGCATGAGACCCTGGGCTCATATCTCTAGCACCCTCCCCCAAAACAAAGTGTGCACTTCAGTGGCATTCAGTATATTCAAAATAGTTTGTAATCTCTACCTGAAACTAGTTCTAAAACATTTTGTCACATTGAAAGAAAACCCTAAACAGTCATTGCTTATTCCTTTCTTTTCCCAGCTTCTCACAACCATCAGTCCATATTCCATCTCAATGGATTTACCAGTTTAGGATATTTCTTTAAAATGAAATCATATGATATGTGATTTTATATGTCTGCTTTCTTTCACTTGTTTTTGAGGTGAGGTTCATATATGTCATAGTACTATCAGTATTTTATTCCCATTTGTAGCTGAATAATACTCCATTTTATATGTATACACACATGCAAGCCACGTTTTAGTAACATCTTTGTTGTTTTTACCTTTTGACTGCTATTGTGAATAATGCTGCTGTGAACATTTGTGTGCAAGTATCTGACTGCTTCTGTGTGTGTGTGTGTGTGTGTGTGTGTGTGTGTGTGTGTGTGTGTATAAAATTGCTGGGTTATATAGCAGTTCTGTGTTAAACTTTTTAGGAATGACCATATTGTTTTACATAACAGCTGCACAATTTTTCATTTCTTCCATCAATGTATATAGGTTCCAACTTTTCCATACCTTCAGTAACATTTGTTATCTTCTAGTTTGTTTTTTGGGTGGTGTAGTTGTTAAATTCTAGCCATCCTAACTAAGTACGTATCTCATTGAGAATTTGATTTGTATTTCTCTAATGACTAACAATGTCAAGCATCATTTCATGTGCTTGTTGGCCTTTTGAATACTTCTTTGGAGAAATGTGTATTTAAGAACTTTGTCCTTTTTTTTTTCTGGAGACAGGATCTAACTATGTAGCCTAGGCTGGTCTTGAACTTGTGGCAGTTCTCCTACCTCAGCCACACAAGTGCTGGGATTACAGGTATGTGTTACCATAGTTGGCTGTTTTTAATTGAGGTATTTGTGTTTTTGTTTTATTTTTTCTTTTCCAAATCCATTTTATTTCAAGGAGAAAAAGAAAAAGAAAGTAGAAAAAAATTGTCACAAGCTGTGGGTTTTTGAGTAGGAAGAGTTCTTTAACTATTCTGTATATTAGACCCTTATCAGATATGTGATTTACAAATATCTTTTTATTCTGTGGATTGCCTTTTCACATTGATAATATCTTCATGTGTATGCATTCACTCATGTAGTACTGAGGATTCAACCCAGGGCCTCATGAGTACTAGGCAAGTAGTCTACAGAGCCATACTTGCAGCCCCTTGATAATATCTTCATACATAAAAGTTTTAAATTTCGACAAACTTAAATTTATTTTTTATTTTAGTATTTATAAGACTAGCCTTATTTTGAGTTCAAGAATAATCTTTCTGGGCTGGAGATGTAGCTCTATGGTAGAGTGCTTGCTTGGGTACTCAGAGGCCTCCTGGATTTGAGCCACAACACTGTAAATTTTCGTTGATCTTTGGTCAAGAGTGAGTGAGTACAGAGAGAAATTTTTGTTTCAACAGAAAACTGCCTCTTATATAGCATAACACTGCAGGTCATCAGAGTCTAGTCCTATGTGTTTTTTTAAAAAGACACTTGGGATTGAAACCAGGGCCTTCTCATTGAGTTACATACCCAGTCCTTTTTTATTTTTTATTTTGATATGGGATTTTACTAAATTGCTAAGATGTCCAGGTTGGGCTCAAATTTGGGATTCTCTTACCTCAGCCTCCCAGAGTGCTGGGGTTACAGACATGGGCCATCACTCCAAGCTTTGTTCATTGTCTTTAAGCTATTTTGCATATCTTTATAAACTGCAGGTTACTGATGGTTATGCAAATTTTGTCTTGTCCAGGTAGAAATATAACTGGCTTTCTTTCAGTGGAAAAACCAGTTTTGGCATCTATTTGTATATTAAACAGAAATACTGTTACCTTTCCCAACTTGTCATTCTTTACCAAATTTTCACCTCTTTTAGTCTTCATCAGTCTCTGGCTGGTATCCTCTAAGCTAACATTTCTAATTTTTATTCCTCCCATATAATTTGAAGTCATGGAGAAGTAAAACCTGACGTAATTGTCATGCAGCTTTCCCTTTTTTCCCAGGATTTCAGGAAATCTTAAACCCAAAAATTTAATAAAAGTGTAGATGTACACAACCCTGAAACAGCCCATGCAGGATAGGGATGCTCCCTGAAGTGGCTGCTGCCTAAGGAAATCTGGAGAAATGTTCAGGTCATGCATGTCTTTATATATGGCATCACCAAGTCTATGGACAAACATCATGGCTGAGAACACCCATATTATAGTGCTGCTGTAACATAGCAAGATTTTCTTCCCCTGGTGCCTTAGAATCCACTGGGCCAGTCATCTTGAAGATCCATTTCTTATATTAATATCTCTTTTGCTCATTTTGGCTATTCCTTATAAGATGCCTTATCTTTTAGGACTCTATGAAATAAATGTGACCTTCCCACTATCTCTCAACAGATGATTCAACTTGTTTTCCAGGAATAGTATCAACCAGTATCCTCAGAAGCCTATTTCTTATACCTCTGCTTCATTTGACCAGGAGGTTTATGTTCACCTCTGAATTGCTTAGCAATGAATGATATTTGTTTTATGCAAAGGGGAGAAATTATAGTATTGACATATATCTGAGCCCTGTGCACCCAAAAAAGCAGTGATGGCTAAGACCTCCTTCCCTTTATCTTGTCCTCCAGGAAAAGGCTAATCATAAAGCTCCCTCTTACCCTGGCACATTGTGTCAAGATAAAATGCATGCGTATTCCTCCAATGACATCCTTAAGATGTGTATAGAAGGTTGGGTGTGATGGCATACACCTGTAATTCCAGAACTCAGGAGGCTGAGACATGAGGATCACCATCAAAGGACAGCCTAGGGTACCTAGTGAGACCCTATCTCAAAAGCAAATAAACATGCAGATTTTAGTATAGATGATTCAGTTTTTTCTCCTTCCCCTAGAGAGGGTCTTGCTATGTAGTTTAGACTGGCCTCAAACTTGCAGCAATCTCCCTGTCTCAGCCTCCCAAATACTGAGATTATAGGCATGTGCCACCAAGCCCAGTGTAGATGGCTATTTTGTTTACCTGCCTTTATAATATTCCAAGTTTTCTTCCTTTTTTTTGAAATGGTCTGCATTAATAGTTTCCATAATGCAATAGCTGAGTAAAATAATTTCCTTAATTCAACACAAATATGTTCAGGGGAGAAACCAGCTCCAACAAACATATATCTGAAAACTTTGGGGACTGAATATATAACTTTTATGACAATTGCTTCACCTTCTAGATACATTTAGCTTCTTAAATGCCCTGGCAAACTGTGAATCACAAAAATCAAACTTTAAGAAAAAGCACTGGGCTCAGTCAATTGCATTTGCTATTTCGATGTCCATTAAAGGTCAGGGACTCTTGGGTCAGGACACAAAGGCATCTTGTAAACTATCAGATGACTGCCTTGCCTGGGCAGTGCTACATTCCCACACTGTTTAACAACTTAACTGTCACTAGCAAAGATCTTTACAATTAAAATCTTTTTAAAAATAGATTTTTCAGGCATGATAGTGCATACCTATAATCTTAGCACTTGGGAGGCTGAGTCAGGAGGATTCTTGTGAGTTCAAGACCACCCTGGGTTACAAAGTGAGCTCAAGGTCAGGATGAACTACACAGCAAGACCTTGTCTCAAAAAGACAAAAAAAAAAAAAAAGATTTTTCAATCTTGGTATCTACTAATGGACATTTAAATTGTTTCCTAAATTTTGCTTTTACAAATACTGTATGATAGATTCTTGCATATAACTTTAAAAATTTTTTGTATTCAGGATTGAAAACAGGGCCTTCAAACTAAGCTTCAACACAAGCCCTTAATTTTTTTTTTAGTATAACAAAAAATATTTTACTAAAACATAAGATTTACAGAAGTTTCCAGACAAGCCATACAAAATGGTCACAAGCTTTTTTGAAGGAGGGAATCTATACTTGACTGCAAAATCACAATGTTATTAGTGAGAGCTGTGAAGTTGTTAATGTTTCCCATTTTGGTTCGAACAATCAGCTTGTCCATCTACAGTGTCTAAATAAAGTTAGACTTGGCTAGAGAGCATATCTTAAAAGAACTGGTTAGCTGCTTTTTTAACCAATGCATTAGATCACCATAAAAGTGGGGTGGGGAGCCCATAAAACTTTGAAACTACCTTTCCCCTCAAAATATAAAATAAAATAAAATAAAATAAAGAACACCCATACCCCTGCAGCTAACCTTGACAACTACCTTCATTCACAGTGCTTTATACTTAAAACCATGATGGGGGAAATGAATAAAAGCAGAGGGCCACTGCTTTTCAATGTTTCACGACAATCTGGATGAAACTTCTAGCCTCTGCTCATGCTTTACAACAGTGAATCAGGACAAGACATAGATTTGCTAATGTGCATTTAATCACCAAAGGACTGAAAATGTCTGGGCTTTTATTCTGTAACGTTTCTAAGACTGTGTCCATTAAATGCAAACAAAAAGGAAGGAGTCTTGGCAGAACAGGAGAAGTGACACAAACGTGATGATCAGATCGACTTAAATATTATTCATGGCATATAACGTAGTCCATGCTCTAGCTGTTTCTATGGCTTGGGCTTCGTTGGTCTTCCACTCCTCCGCTACATCATTTGCTAATGGGTCATCTGGATTAGGAGCACTTAACAAAGCCTGGATCGATAGCAGAACTGTGCGGATCTGCAGTGCTGGCGACCATTTATCTTTCAAAATATCTAAACATATTCTTCCCAACTTGTCTACATTAGGATGATAAATTTTGGTCATGAAACGTACTTTAGGTGCTGCCATTGGGTATTCTTCTGGCAGAAATAGTTCAAGTTTAAAAGTCCCTCCTTCAAAGGGGGAATCCTGGGGACCAGCAATGACCACGTGAAAATAACGGGCGTTGCTCTCGTCTGGTTCTGCTTTAATCCCAGGAACGGGCTCTGCCGGCAAACACTGGGTTTCCTTGATGATCCTGCCGGGCAGCCCAGCCATCTTGTCAGATCCCGAGTTCGGCCTCTGGTTGCGTCTCCGGCTCCGCTTGCCACACGCACCAAATTTTTAAAAAGTCATGACAGGGTCTTGCTAAATTGCTAAATCGCCCAGCCTGGGCTTAAACTTTCTACCTTCTTGCCTTAGTCTCCCAGAATCCTGGGATTACAAGAATGTACCACCACGTCTGGCTTGCGCATGTCATTTTGAGTGTACATGAATATACATGAAAGATATGTTACTAGATGCAATCCCTGGATCAAAGGATTTTATTTGTAACTTAGATAAAATTGCTAAATTGCCTTTCACGGGTCTGCAACAATGTACTCACTGTGTTATCAAACTTTTGTATTTGTAATAATCCAATAAATGGAAAAATGATAAAAATAGCACTATAGATGCCCAACTAATTTTCTCATTTGGATCTTTGTAAGGCTTGCTCAGAGATATACATTTTCTTTTCCAGTGTTAGCATGAGTCTCACTTTCATTAAAGTTATTTCGGAACCAGATGGTCGTATAGTTTGGCCTTCCTCTGTTGCTGGCACATAATAAAAACTAATCGCCAACATTTATTGATAATCCGATGCCAGGAAATTCATTAAGTGCTTTCAATATTGTTAACTCAATTTTCACAACAACTCTGAGAGATGACTACTGTTATTTCCATTTTAGAAATGAGGAAACTAAAGCGAGGAAACTAAAGCACAGAGACATTAAGTAACTTGTTCAAGGTCACAGAGCTTGAATTTGAATTTTTTTGTTGGATTTTTGAGACAGGATGTTGCTATGTAGTTCAAGCTGGCCTTGAACTATGTAGCCCAGGTTGGCGTCTAACTCATGGCAATCCTCCTGTCTCAGCCTCTTGAATGCTGGGATTGCAAAAGTGTGGCACCATACCTGACCTTGAATTTTTAAAAACCATTTTAATAAGTATGATTGACATATACCTATATACTGCATATATTTCATGTATAAAACTTGATGAGTTTGGAGATAAATATACTTGTGAAACTATTACTACAATTTGTACAATCAACCTATTACCACTAAGTTTCCTCATACTGTATGTATTATTTAGTGCTAAGAACATTTAACATAAAATCTACCCTCTTAGCAAATTTTTAAAGTACAGCATTTTAAGTATAGGCATCATGTTATACAGAGATCTTTAAATGTACATCTGTGGAAAAACATAAAGAAAATTGCTATACACCTAGATTGGAGTATTGGGCTTTAAAAAGAAGGAAATTCTACCATTTGGGACAAAACAGATGAACTTGGATAAAATTATGCCCAGTAAAATAAAGCCAGACAGAGAAGGACAAGTACTACATCATACCAGGAGGACCGGAAAAGGGTCAAATTCTTTGAAGCAGAGTAGAAGGTTGGTTGCCAGAGGCTAGGGGGGAATGGGAAGTATTTGAATTTGCATGATTTAGGCAGTCTTGTTTATAAGCCTACAAGCTTAATCACCCAGTAAGTAGTTTTTTGTTGTTGTTGCACTGGGGATTAAACCCTTTGCACTGAGTTATATCTTCAGCCCTTTTTTATTTTGAGAAAGGGTCTTGCTAAATTGCTGAACTGCCCAGGGTGGGCTCAAACTTGCGATCTTTCTGCCTCAGCCTCCCTGAGTGCTGGGATTACAGGTATGTGCCACTGTATCTCACTCCAGCTAAATAGTTTTGGCATGACTATAGCCATCTACTGTCTTTTTTCTTCCATGTAATGTTTTTCACTCCTACTTCATGACTATTTCTCTGTCATCATTTCAACTTTGTAGTGTTGATGAAATTAGTCTACTTTCTTTGATTTCTCTTACCTCTTCACTTGTCTGTCTCCATTTACCACTTTTCTACTTTTTCTGTTTGCCTCTGTCCCCTTTGCCTTTTCCTGCATGTTTGGATTTGAGTTTTTTGGTTATTAAAATGATTAACTATATAGGTAGCTAAGTTAGACAGAAATTAACAGGCAGTCAGACAGGGACAGGCCCTCAAGGAAGCATGCACAGGAGATAAGAACACATCAAAACTGTGGAGGTGCAACTAAAGAAGGCAAGTCCTCAAGATAAGGTCACAATGATCAGATTTGCATGCAGTAGTTCCCTAAGAGATGAAGGAAATTTGCAATTATATTGTAATTGATCCATTAAGTTCAGGTATGCGTCAGACTCCCTTGTGTGTGGCCAGAATACCTGGACCTATCCTTTCCCCAAAATGTTTTTTTAGAAGACAATTCAAGGTAAACCAACAGAACATAACACATTTTTTTTGTCAGAAAGGCCCATAAACATGGATATATCAAACCCATATCTTATCTTTAGAATATTTCTACTGATGAATTATTTATTTTAATTTTGAGTTTTATTATATTAAATAATGAGTGCTTAACAGGAACAAGTATCACAAAAGTATTGTATTTTAATATTTATTGTTAATAAAAAAGCATCAAAATTTCAACATCGACAGTTTCTTGGTGTACAAAATCTAAAAAGAACAACAGAAATAAATTACCATATGAACTACAATGAAAATAGCAACAGCACCCTACAAAAACACCTTTACTTCAATTATCACACCTAAGGCAGTCTTCACACCTGACAGCAACATGTTACATATACACATTGCTTACACTGACATCACATGTGTCTTGCTTTCCTGACTTTTTTTAGGGCACAGTTGACATCTTACTGGTCTTATGTTTTGTCAAGAGGTTCTTGTTATATTATGCAATGTGTAGTTAACAGAAACATAAAAATGTCAATAAAATAAAGTGTTAAATTTGTAATATGTATTGCACATTTAGAGTAAACATCAACATTTTCATATCAGCTGTGTACTAGCTTACAAAATATGAGATAACATCAGAAAGAAAAATCTATGTGAAGTACAGTGTAAACACAAGTGAAAGACTATCACAGAAATAATCTTTGCTTCAACTGTCACACTCAAAGTATTCTTCACACATGAAAACTGTGTGTTTCATGCACATGCTTTGCCTTCACTGACGGGTTTTCCTTTCCTTTATGGCAGGCCATTCTTGTCACCTCTTTTCTCTTCCTGTTTTGTCAGGAGTTTCCTACCATGTCGTACAATGTGCATTTAGCAGGGAAATAAGATATCAATAAAATAAAATATCAAATGTGTAATAAGTGTTTAGAATAGACATCAATATTTTTACCTTAACTGTGTACTTGCTTATGAAACCTAAGAGATAACATTAGAAATAAAAAACCTATGTGAACTATAGTGAAAATACAAATAGAACTCTAAACAAATATCTTTGTTCCAACTATGACACTCAAGGCAGTCTTCACATATGAAAATTGCTTGGTTCATATGTAAGTATCACTTATACTGATACCATGTGTGTTTTGTTTTCCTGCCCTTTCTTGTGGGGTACAGTTGACAGCTTTTTGACTTTAATGTTGTCACAGTAAGTCTTTGGGATGCTGCATCTGCTTGTTCACTTGTCAGCTCACCAGTGTGAGCCATAAATTTTTGTGTAGTTCCTTGAGCAAAACATTTTGGTTTTCTTCTGCTATAAATGATTTCTTAGGAGTTCCAGTACTAATTCTCTAACAAAATTTCTCCATGGTATTTTACACTTGTTCTTTTATTTATAAACTATAAAACTGTTTATGCTACAAATGTTTAGGATCAAGTAAAATGCAACCATTGACCAATACTTTGTGTTTTGAGTGACATCATAGTTGCTGCGTAACTCATCAACTGTGCCTCTTTGTTTTGTTGTAGAAAGTTTCCATTTCAGGCTTCCATTTTATTTAGATTTCCCTATCAGTATTTCCATCATGGTGCAATGTTAACATCAGCAGTACCAGTTTGTTTTATTTTGCCATATATGAAGCCAGTATAAATCTTTCTAAAATCCAGATTGTACTATACGATTCTGTTTTGAAATTATAACATTTCATTTAGAATTTCTGCTTTGTTCTTGCACACAGTTCCTGAGCCAGCAATTTATGCCCTGCTAGCAAATGTAACATCAATTTGAAACTGATAAACCAATTCTCTTTAAAATAAAAATCTAAAAGCATCTCTTTAAAATAAAAAATTTTAAAAAACCCAATTGTTGAATGTCACATTCTGATTAGTTTGGGAGATGGGAGCAACAAGTCTGTTCACATCTTTTGGTTTATTACTATACAAATAAGGACCTGATGACTGAGTTCCAGGATAAATTTCTAAATTGAAAGCATAATAAGTTTTTGTATCTAAAAAGGCATAAATTTTCATGCTATATTTTGATCCATCACTTTTCCATAAATCTTTAACATTTCTGCAATCATGGTGAGAAATCTCTGCTCAAAGTACAGCAGACCTATACATGCTTTCAGTTCACCTAGTAAGGTGTCATAATAAATATATTTTAATATGGCTATTGGTGCAATATGGCTATTGGTTCGGCTTGTATTTTGGCCTTTGTGTATTTCACAGAATCTTGTAGCATTTCGTCTGTTATAATTTCCAACATTGAATGGCAGTGCTGGCATTAGGTCCAGTACATTTCACCCCTGCCAAAACCCTTACTGTAATTTTGGACCTAGTTCTAACATTGGACTGGTCCATTTGGTTGTGTGACCATTTCTAACATTTTGACTAGTCAAATATGTACTCCCTTTGTTATTTTCTTCGTCATCTGAATCAAGGAGGTTTATATTCCCTGTTGTATTAGTCAATTCTTGCTAGATTTCATTGCCACAAGAACTTTGCTTCACATGGCCAATATTAAAGTCATCATCATCATCATCATCATCATCATTACCACCACCATCACCATCATCACTATTCATCCACACTACTCTTTTGTTAGGAAAACATGTATTTTATCACAATGGATCATCTTCATCATTCATGCACGATTCACTTTTGACCTCCTCCAAAGCTGGCAAATCTGCTTTTTCATGTGCCATTGCACTGAATTAAACTACTTCTACCAGAAAAATCCAAAGAAAACTTTTTAAAAACAAATTCTAGAGTGGTGTGGGTGTATTACACCCTCTGTAATGCTCAGGTAAACATGCACCAAA